TACTTTTTCAATTTTTCAAGATTAGTGTCCATTTTCAAATGAGAATTGGAAGAGAGATTCAAAGAATTGCACAAATATATACACAGATATCAGTTATTGTGGGAAACTGAAAGAACCGACTTAAGTCACGGAGTACCGTTATCCGCCATTTGACTAGGGTGAGAGAAACTAGCAAAAATCACTCAAAAAGAAAAAAAATAAAAATAAAATCAATCTTTATATACAGGATCACCCAATTCAATAGAGTCATGTTCAAATGAAAAATTGTCAAAGTAAACTTTCAGACAATGTCCATTTACCTTGAAAACATTGTCATTCTTTGGATTCTCAATGTCATAGGCCCCATATGGATACACATGTTTCACAATAAAAGGACTGCTGCATCTTGATCTTAATTTTCTAGGAAATAAATGCAGTCGAGAATTATAAGCAAGACTTTTTGACCAACATTGAATGTTTTTCTCGGTATTTTCTTGTCATGAAACTATTTAATTCTTGCTTTATGAATTCTTGAATTTTCATATGCATCATTTCTTATTTCCTCAAGCTCAGTTATTTGTAATTTTCGTAGCTGACTAGCATCATCCAGATTTGAATTGAAAGTTTTAATAGCCCAATAAGCTTTATGTTCAAGTTCCACATGCAAGTGACAAGGTTTTCCATAGACTAGTCTATAAGGTGACATACTTAATGATGTTTTATAAGCAGTTCAATAAGCCCAAAGTGCATCATTAAGTCTTAAAGACCAGTCTTTCCTATTAGGGTTCACTGTTTTCTCCAAAATGTGTTTGATCTCCCTATTAGCAAGCTCTACTTGTCCACTTGTTTGAGGGTGATAAGGGGTGGCAACTTTGTGTGTGATTCCATATTTCTTCATTAAAGACTCAAATAGCTTGTTGCAGAAATTTGTTCCACCATCACTTATTATGGCTCGAGGGACTCCAAATCGACTCAAAATATTTTCTTTCAAAAACTTTATCACTGTTTTGTGATCATTGTTTCGACTTGGAATTGCCTCTATCCATTTTGAAACATAATCTACTGCGACTAATATGTATAAGAAACCAAATGATGGAGGGAATGGGCCCATGAAATCTATACCCCAACAGTCAAAGATCTCAATGACAATAATAGGGTTTAAAGGCATCATGTGACGTTTTGAAATAGATCCCAACTTTTGACAATTTTCACAAGACTTGCAGAATGCATGTGAGTCTTTGAACATGGTGGGCCAGTAAAATCCACTTTGTAAGATTTTTGCAGTTGTCTTTCTTGATGTAATTTTCATAAGACTTGCAGAATGCATGTGAGTCTTTGTACATGGTAGGCCAATAAAATCCACTTTGTAAGATTTTTGCAGTTGTCTTTCTTGACGAGAAATGGCCCCCACATGCCTCAGAATGATAAAATTTAATGACACTACTTACCTCATTCTCAGGAATGCATCTTCAAAATATTTGATCAGGATAATATTTGAATAAATAAGGATCATCCCAATAAAAGTTCTTCACTTCATTCAAGAACTTTCTTTTATCTTGGGTACTCCAATGAGTTGGCAATTGTCCTGAAACAAGAAAATTGACAATATTAGCAAACCAAGGCATTGTAGAGACAGAAAGTAAAGATTCATTGGGAAAGTAGTCATCGATTGGTGTGATGTCAGTTTTCGAATCTATTGTCAATCTTGACAAGTGATCTGCGACAACATTTTCACTGCCTTTCTTATCTTTGATTGTGATATCAAATTCTTGAAGTAATAAAATCCACTGCACCAATCTAGCCTTAAAATCTTTCTTAGAAAGAAGATATTTCAATGCTGCATGATCACTAAAAACAATAACAGGTGAGCCAACAAGATAAGATTTGAATTTTTCACATGCAAATACTACTGCAAGTAATTCTTTTTCAGTGGTGGTATAATTCATTTGAGCACTATTTAAAGTTTTACTTGCATAGTAAATTACATAAGGTTTCTTATCTTTTCTTTGTCCCAAAACAGCACCTACGGCATAATCACTAGCATCACACATTATTTCAAAAGGTAATGACCAATCGGGAGGTTGAATGATAGGAGCACAAGTAAGCAAGTTTTTAAGTTTAACAAAGGCTTCTTCACAATGTTCAGTCCATTCAAAAATAGTATCCTTTGTTAAAAGGTTACTTAAAGGCTTAGATATTACACTAAAATATTTGATGAACCTTCTATAAAAACCAGCATGTCCTAGGAATGATCTAACGTCTTTAAGAGATTTTGGTGTTGGCAAGTTTGCAATTAACTCGATTTTAGATTTGTCAACCTCAATTCCTTTTGATGAAACAATGTGACCAAGTACGATGCCGTTTGTTACCATAAAATGACATTTTTCCCAATTCAACACAAGATTCTTCTCTTTACACCTGGTCAAAACCTTTCCTGAGTTAGTCAAACAATCATCAAATGAATCGCCAAAAACAGAAAAATCATCCATGAAAATCTCAAGAAAATGTTCAACCATATCACTAAATATACTAAGCATGCATCTTTGAAATGTGGCTGGTGCATTACATAATCCAAAAGGCATCCTTCGATATGCAAAAGTACCAAATAGACATGTGAAAGTAGTCTTTTCTTGATCTTCCAATGCAATTTCAATTTGGTTGTAACCCGAATAGCTATCTAGGAAACAATAAAATTCATGACCTGTAACTCTTTCTAGGATTTGATCCATGAAAGGTAAAGGAAAATGATCTTTTCTAGTAATTGAATTAAGTTTCCTATAGTCAATGCACATTCGCCAACCAGTAACAATTCTAGTGGGAATTAACTCATTGTTCTCATTTGTTATCATAGTGACTCTAGACTTCTTAGGTACAACTTGGGTAGGACTTACCCATTTGCTGTCAGAAATAGGATAAATGATTTCATTATCTAGAAGCTTAATGACTTCATTTTTCACTACTTCTTTCATATTAAGATTTAGCCTTCGTTGCATTTCTCTAGAGGGTTTAGCATTTTCCTCTAAATAAATTCTATGTGTACAAATCAAAGGACTAATTCCTTTTATATCAGCTATGGTCCATCCTAATGCATTTTTGTGCATTTTCAGAGTTTGTAATAACTTACCTTCTTGATGTGTATTAAGTTTGGAAGAGATTATTACCGGAAAAGTTTCATTTTCTCCCAAAAATGAGTATTTGAGATTGGATGGCAATGGCTTCAAATCAGGTTTTGGTGGTTGAACACTTGAAGGTATGGACTTAATTGATCGTGGTGGCAATTCTTCAATTTGTGGCCTCCAATTACTTGTCTTTGGTTCTTCCTGAAAATAAATCATTTGCAAATCATCAGATAATTTTTATTTATTTATTATTATTAGATTATATATCTTATAGTAAATTAATTAGTTCTCTGTGATATTATTTTAATCATGTAAAATATATTTAATTTTAATGAATAAAATCATTATTTATCTTTAATATTTATTTATATGTAATTTAAAATTTTAATATTTGATAAATAAATCTTGAGTAAAGATAAAATTCATGGAAAAACAATTCTTTGCAAATGAAATTCTAAAGATATTACAATTATAAGATTTTTATTACATCAAAGTATTGTTCTTAAATGTTCCTGGTTAATGCTCTCTTAATAATATTCATTTATTAGAGCTATAGAAACCGATACATATTATATTATTTTTTTTATAAAAAGAAGTATTTATTCTCATAAGCTAAGATATAAGGGATACGTAGAACTAATATATAGATGTTTCTCATAAGAGATATATAATAAAGTCACCGCATAAGAATTCCACATGAAGATATCACATATGCCTATGGAAAGACTCATATAGCGATTGTGTAAATGATTGTTGATCTTTAAGTTATGTTATATAGTAGTGCTATGTTTTGATCATGTTACACGTTATCTTTGTAAAGGTAACAAATGGGTAAGCATTGGATATAGAATAAACTATACGAAGATATTTGAATGATTAAGAGAGTGTTCATCACCTTAGGTGAATTAGGAAAACTATTTCACTTGTTCTGAAATAATATTGATTGTTAAATCCTTACGTAGTGTGAAATGAGATTTGAAAATAATTTTAAATCTTATTCAAAGGATCAATGCCAATAATGTTATGAACAAATATGATTTGACATAGTAGACACACTCTATACTAAAATATCTCAATCAAAAAATCATTGATGAGGAGATAATAATTACATTGAGAAACCGGTCATCGAAATGTTAAATCAAATCACTTATGACTTTTCTAATATTTTAAGGATCATAATATGTTGCTAGATGGTACACTTGATCTTCAAATATAAGGTACACTTGATCTTCAAATATAAATTAATCAATTATTAAATTGATAATAAATTAAATTATTTAATTTATTTAATTCTATTTATTTAAAATTATAATTTATATTTGAGCTAACATATTAGAAACCTAACAGGTCACACACATTAAAAACTATGAGTTAGAAATTAAACTAGGATAATTGATAGTTTTAAAAGTTAAGCACATTTAATTATGGGATTATAACTATAGTCCTAAAATAATCAAGGACATGATTGATTAAATTTATAAAATTATCCTTAAATAATATATGGATATTATTAAAGAGGTAAATAGATATTTTATCATTTATAGGATTTTTAGAATTCCCTATAAATATAAAGTTGTGTCTCTTTTTTTTTAAGTTGGGTTGTTTGTTAGAATAAAAAATTAAATTATAGAATAAAGAACTAACATTTTAGGCATAATAATCCATATCTTCTAAATATAGATTTAGAAGATTTCTCACTAGTAATTTTTTTAAATTACTATTAGAAACCACATAATTAAATAATTTATAGTTTTTTATAATTCAATTTTTAAAAAATTATTTAAAGTTAAAAAAGATAATATCTTCGTATAATCGTTAAACAAATCTAAATATAACAAAACTCTAATAACTTCCTAATATTACCGTAAATTTATCATTTCTATAATTACGGATTTTGCAAACTTAACACTTTCTGAGCCGATTACTCTTTTCCCATTGACGACAAGCTAACTTACATGTTGTATCTTTGACATCACCTATTGATTCATGAAGTTATCTAGCACGGTTTTCTTCATCCAAATATGCTTCATCTCTAAAGTACTTGTCATACTCAGGAACTCCAATCGATCTCCTGATCCCTGTAGAATAATCCGCATAGGTATCAGTAAATTTCTGACCTCATCGATCATCCCAATATTAACCATTTGATCAACTCGCCTCGAAACAAATTCATGTGGCACGGGCATTGATTCATCTATCCAAAGGATGCAACACTCTTATTTCGACCGCAGTCTAAAATCTTCATCATCCATCAAGGCCTCAATGTATGTATTGGAACCTCTAACAATGATTGGAACCAAGCGTCGAGTCGAAATTGATTCAACAGCTAAGGAAGCCATGCGGCAGAAATCTGTTGATGTAAAGTCTGCATTAGGATTTGCTATTCCTAGCAAATGGTGAGGGATACCAGAAATCTCTTCTTCAGCAACTTTGTGGGTGACTGTGTCAAGTCCTTTGTAAACCTGAATTTTATCCGAGTTTATGATTTCAGCAGGGAATTGGGTCGCAAGTTCGATAGAGAGCCGAGACTTGCCAGTTCCAGTAGGTCCCATTGCGGTCACTACCTTCTCCCTTTTTACAGGTTCTGGAACTTCGCATGTCCATTTTGAGCATCCGACTTGTTTGTGGGAACAGGGACATGGAAAGACTCATCATCAACCTGTTTACATGGACCCCACTGTCCTGAAGCTTGTTTAATGTTAAGATTTACGTGCATTAATCTCAAAATATAAAAATTCATCATGAAACATAATTCTAAAAGTTTCTTTTTAAAAACAAATACTCTCCTTCTCGCTACAAATGTAAGATTTGGCAGGCAACTATTATCTCTAGCAATTAGAGCAATAAGAGTTGAGTGAGGGATGCTAAATGAGAGCTATAGAAGCTAGTTGATGAAGAGATGGATTACAAATTCTCCCAAGAAAATACTTGCTTCAAGTGAGCATAAAGGAAGCAGCTTTGTAGTAGGGTATAAAGCTGCTTCTTTTACATTATATACTCACTCTAGGAATTAATTTGCTTGGCAATAATTAGTAAATGATTGCATTTTTATTTTATTTTTTGAAAAAAAAAAGCAGCTGCTATTGAAGTTAACAGTGGTCTTTACATTCTTCGAAGTGAAAGTTCTCTCTCTCTCTCTCTATATATATATATATAACCTGTGGTTGTTAATGAATGCCATGCATCCTTTGTCTCTCAAGCAAATCAACACGTAAAATTAATACGTAGACGGTACCACTACCAGTTTTATAATAGGTATGCTAGCTACCACTTGATTAATATGTGGCCCTAGTTTACTACAAAGTGATTTAATCATTCAAAGACCCTTATATTCATTCAAAATAACATAGAATTTAGATATTTTAAAGAATTTATAAATAGACATATCTCATATTAATCACTTATTAAATATTTACAAGATATTAATTGTAAATTTATAAATATATTTGTTTATGCAGGATGTTTCTCCATGTCGACTAGTTGATTTTAAAACATGCAATTTTGTAGATACCAAGTAGAGCAAGAGGTTTTTTAATTCTAGAATATTCAGCTATATTTATTTATTTATTAATTATTTTGGGTGAGAAGACTTTAAAAACTATGAAATTACAAGTGATTAGAGACGAAGCTTCTCAATTGAATAACAAGAGATGGAAAAAAAGAGATTTATGAGAAAAAAAAACTTAAAATTAATTAAAATTAAATTTTTGATCTTGTTTAGCACTATAATTATATTTATTTTTCAAATAATTTTTTGTATTAAAATATATATTAATTATATTTTTTATTTATTAAAAATTATTTTTCACATCAGTTCATTAAAATAATTTGAAAATAATAAAAATATATAAATTTAAAATAAATAAAAATAAAAAAATAATTTTTTAAAATAATTAAAAAACAGTAAATTTTACAAATTAAATATGTCACATCTAAACAAATGATACTTGTGTTCAGAGAGAGAGAGAGAGAGAGAGAGAGAGAGAGAGAGAGAGAGAGATAGCGCGCGCGCAAAATCAAAGAACCGGAAGAAAGAAAAGAATTATCTGGGATTCCGCCACGATAAAAGCGCCACGTACGCCATTCCTCATCCACACCCAAACTTTATTTTTGTTAGTGAACTCAAAAATCCACGACAACAGGTAACGACTCCGCCTCCCCTCCAAGTAGACATATACAAGGGAACCCCGACAGCCATTAGTGAGTTCCATTCACCAGTAATCCTCTCCTCTTGTTTGTTTCTTTCAAGGTATGGTATGCTACGCTATTCATGCTTCTTCTCCAATTCCTTCCTTCTCTTGATACGTTTGTTCTTTAATTAGTTTCGGTATTTTATTTATTACTTTATTATTCGATCGAATTATGGTCTAAATCTTATTCTAATGGTTTAAATAAATCCTGCCTGAAATGGGATGTTTTATTTATATAAAAAAAAAGTATATTAAATCAGTGTTTTTCAAGTGTTTTTATTTTTATGATTTTAATATTAAAAATAAAGATTTTTAAGAGAATTATTTTGAAGTTGAAAAAACTCTTAAGAAACAACATACACGTCAAAGCATGGATAAAGAAGAACTGGCTGGTGTTTATCTAATATTACTACTGTTATTGAACTAAATGTTTGCTTTCGCATGCTTCCAGATGGCAGCGTCCTCCGCAGCGTGTCTTGTTGGAAACGGTTTGTCAGCCACCGGTAATGCCAAGCAGAATTCGACCAAGGTGTTCTATGGCGGTCACCTTTTCGTTTCTACTAATCTCCTTCCTTCATCTAAGACCTCAAGAAATGTTATTGCAAAGGAAGCTTTGGACAGGAGACGGCATGATGCAAGAAGGGGTTTTCTGAAGGTTTTGCTTGGGGGAATTGGTGGATCCGCTTTACTGGGAGCTGGGAGAGCATACGCTGATGAGCAAGGTGTTTCTTCCTCCAGGATGTCTTATTCTAGATTCTTGGAGTATTTGGATAAGGGTAGGGTAAATAAGGTTGACTTGTTTGAGAATGGAACCATTGCTATTGTAGAGGCTGTTTCCCCTGAGTTGGGTAACCGGGTCCAGCGAGTTCGTGTGCAACTTCCAGGACTCAGCCAAGAGCTGCTTCAGAAGTTTAGAGAGAAGAACATTGACTTTGCAGCACATAATGCTCAAGAGGACTCTGGTTCTCTGCTATTCAACTTGATTGGAAACCTGGCTTTTCCTTTAATCTTAATTGGAGGTCTGTTCCTCCTTTCTCGACGCTCATCAGGTGGAATGGGCGGGCCTGGTGGTCCTGGTTTCCCCTTAGCTTTCGGCCAATCTAAGGCAAAGTTCCAAATGGAACCAAACACTGGTGTGACATTTGATGATGTTGCTGGAGTGGATGAAGCAAAGCAGGATTTCATGGAGGTAGTGGAGTTTCTCAAGAAGCCTGAGAGATTCACTGCAGTAGGGGCTCGCATTCCGAAAGGTGTTCTTCTTGTTGGACCTCCAGGTACTGGGAAGACTCTTCTGGCCAAGGCAATTGCTGGTGAAGCGGGTGTTCCGTTTTTCTCCATTTCAGGTTCGGAGTTTGTTGAGATGTTTGTTGGTGTTGGTGCCTCTCGAGTCCGGGATCTCTTCAAGAAGGCCAAAGAGAACGCTCCTTGCATTGTATTTGTGGATGAAATTGATGCTGTGGGAAGGCAAAGAGGAACTGGAATTGGCGGAGGAAATGATGAAAGAGAACAGACCCTTAACCAGCTTCTGACAGAAATGGATGGTTTTGAGGGTAATACTGGCATCATTGTCGTTGCAGCAACTAACAGGGCAGACATTCTTGACTCTGCCTTGTTGAGGCCAGGACGGTTTGATAGACAGGTAAGAATATGTTATCATGTTCGTATTGGTTTCATATTTCTCTTTGGGGCAGTCCTCATTATGAAGCTTTAATGCAGGTGACTGTTGATGTCCCGGATGTACGGGGAAGAACAGAGATATTGAAAGTTCATGCTAGCAACAAGAAATTTGATGCTGATGTGTCTCTTGATGTGGTAGCCATGAGAACACCTGGTTTCAGCGGGGCTGATCTTGCAAACCTCTTGAATGAGGCAGCTATCCTAGCTGGGCGGCGTGGAAAGGCAGCAATTTCATCTAAAGAGATCGATGATTCAATTGATAGGATTGTTGCCGGAATGGAAGGAACCGTTATGACAGATGGAAAGAGTAAAAGTCTTGTTGCATACCATGAAGTTGGCCATGCCATTTGCGGGTATGTGAGATAATAGCCCGTTTCTGTCTCATGGAAATTCACCTCATTAAATTTCTAATTTATTTTATAAAATATGTCATTGAGTAAATCTGATTACAACTGAGTAGCGCTAGGAACTCAATTTGATGGTTATCTCATGTTGAGAAGCGGAATTAGAGAAATAGTGGCCCTGTTCTTGGTGACTTCAGATGCTCCATCTCTATGTTGCATGCATGCAATCATAGTTTACTTGGAAGTGATGGAATGCATCGCTAAAAACTTATCTGTATTGTCGCTTGAATGAAGACACCTGATTGGCCTGACCTTCGCAATTGAAGATTGATATTCAGTAACTTATTCTTGGAAAATTTTGACCCAGTATAAAGCTTCAACTTCTCTTCTACTCATTTGACCGATTTGCCAAAAGCCCTACGAAACATTTGAAGTCAGGGAAAAAAAAGGAAAGGAAAAATCTGAAAACTAACAAGAAGCTGATCTCTTTTGCTTGTTATGACTTCCCTCATTTGGTCACCTGTATGTTTGTGAGTCCAAAATTATCTTCTACCTAGGTTATCATCACTTGTTCTTGTGGAGATATCTTCTTTGTTGGAAAAAGAACATCCTTAACGCTCCTTACTGTTCTATTCAGAACTTTGACTCCAGGGCATGATGCAGTTCAGAAAGTCACCCTCGTTCCACGAGGCCAGGCACGGGGTCTCACCTGGTTTATTCCTGCAGATGATCCCACATTGATCTCCAAGCAGCAACTTTTTGCAAGAATAGTTGGTGGCTTAGGTGGCAGAGCTGCTGAAGAAGTGATCTTTGGTGAGTCCGAGGTGACTACTGGGGCAGCTGGTGATTTGCAGCAGGTCACCGGTTTGGCTAAACAGGTAACTAAACATTTGAAGTGACATTTTCTGTCTTTTCCTTGCTCCTTGAGTGATTCGTGTGGTATCTCTATCCTCTCTTTTTTTTTTCTTTTTGTATGTGGTTCTACACTTCCTTTTTTATATTTTATCGGAGCAGTTTAATTGAAATGAGGAGTATGATTAATCTGGTCTGTTACAGATGGTAACCACGTTTGGAATGTCTGAAATTGGCCCATGGTCACTCATGGACGCATCAGCTCAAAGTGGTGACGTCATCATGAGAATGATGGCAAGGAACTCAATGTCAGAAAAGCTAGCGGAAGACATTGATTCTGCCGTGAAGAGGATATCAGACAGTGCATATGAAATTGCATTGAGCCACATAAGGTACAACCGTGAGGCAATTGATAAGATTGTGGAGGTCCTCCTCGAGAAGGAAACTATGACCGGTGATGAGTTCCGAGCAATCCTCTCTGAATTTGTTGAGATGCCTGCTGGAAATCGGGTCCCTTCCTCAGTATCCTCCCCGGCGGCTGTGTAATTATTGTATGCTATTACTCCCCATATGTTCACTGCAACTTTGACCATCCATCTTAAAGCTGGTTAAATGTATAATTTGCATCTTCGATTTTGTGGAAGAAGGAATAAAAACTTCGTCGAAACCCAGTAATGACCATCTTGCTGTGACTTGAGCTGCTAATTCAGCAACTTCGTCACTCAATAGAAAATGCAGTGAAGTCCTTGATAAACATTTGGTGGTATCAGTTACGGTCTCATACACTGGAAACACATGAATTGTCACCTTGACGTGCATGGAAATTGTGATCTGTTTAAAAAACCGAAAGTGTGTGTGTGTGTGTGTGTATTATATACATGGAAATTTCTTATCGAGGTGCAATCGTCATGGCTGCTTAATGATTTCTATAGAAGGAGAGGGTTCTAAAGATGGGAGTTTTGAAAGGAGAAGGGCTTACAAGGGTAGAAAGTATAAGCATGCGTTTTAGTATCTGTGATGGGTTGAGTAATTTAGTGTATATAGAATAGTCGGTGTCAATATAAGTTGCTTTCATACCTGATTATACGTGCTATTTATAGATATTTTAGAAGCAAAAGACGATAGAGAATACGTTGCAAATCTAGGAGAGAAGGGTGTTTGTTATGTATGGTGGCAGGCAAACCTATTACTTGAAATGGTGTTGAATAGTTTCCACGAGTTCACACAATGTTAGGTGTCTTCTTTTATTGTTAATCACCGCAAAATTAACCTGTAATGTAGAAGTCAGAGGTATGCGCCTACTGCAAATGATAGCACTCTCGTCAAGAAATAACATTGTTTCTCAAGTTTTTTGGATATTCATGAATGCCCCTAAAATTTCATCGACAAGCTCAGCACATTCTCCTTTGGATCCAATCTTTTTTCTTCAACCCATCTCTAACATAATTTTAAAATCTAGCCCAACTTAATAAGTTAGTTTAAGATTTAATTAATCTAAAATTAAAATCAAACTGGATTTGATAAATCGGCTTGAGATTCAATTGATGTAAAATTAAAACTGAAATCAAACTGGATTTATAAAAAAAAAAAGAAAAATGATAAAAAACCATATTGGAAAGATAAAAAATAATTGACCTTGCACAGTAGCAAATATATATATATTGCAATACCGATGATCTGTTCTGTAACAAGTCTAAGGAGATCACCGTGCCAAAATTAAGAGCATATTGGTAATTTGGTAATTGGTTATTCTTTAAGAAACCTAGTTATGACAGGGGATTGGTTTCGTTTGTTCAAGCTTATTTCGTTTCATTTCGAGAAGAAAGGAGTTCATAAAGACATCATATGCAAAACTCTTATATTTATATTTTATATTTGTGTCAGTTATTTATGTTTAATCTCTTGCGTTACGTACAAGCTAGGCCAATTAACTTGTATATTTCTTAAATTTATTCAATGTTCTCTATATTTGCTTAATTCAATTAAGCTCAACATTAACTATCTATGCAATACAATACGAA